CTGCTGAATAACCAAAACCCGCCAATACGTCTACTTTGCATAGGGTTTTTAATCCATCCAATCGACCTTGTTCATTAAACGTGCTTCCTACGTATTCTAAACGAGCCACAGCCGTCTGAAAGCATTCTTGTCGTTCCTCCCACAATTCTCTAGTCACGCCGTCCCAACGACAATTATATTCTTCGTCTGCCATCAACCTTTCAGTAATTAATTTTGTTCCGTTAGTTATGGTGGTTTTATTATCAATTTGTTTTGATTTTTTGTTGTAATCTGATGACATGACTGGTAGATCAGTATCCGATAAACTTTTTCGAATCTTGGCTGAAGATTTCCGATTTTTGATCATGCTTAAAATCTCAGCGTCCATTTTAAGTATTTTACCATCGATGGCTACATTTGAAGTACATTGGGAATGATTCATTTGGATATTATCTGTGATATTTCGGTCTGTAGGCCGTTTAACAAGTGTACGCAAATCTATAGAACTTTTTGTTTTGTTGAGCAATTTGAAAAACTTATTTTTTTTCAGCTTTCCTATTTCGTTGAAATTATCGTTTATTACAACAAATTTGAAATTATTATCGTCGTAGTCATCCGTCACTTTAAAATTTTGATAATTTATTTCAGAAAACCTATATTTTATCGTTTCTTCCAAAGGATCACACATTTTAATTTTAGATGATTTCCTTTGTCTGATATCTTCTAAACAATTCAATAAAGTCTGCCACGTATGCAATTTTTGATTAATAAATTTTGTATAATCATCCAAAATTTGTGTATCAAATTCGTTCTGAGTTCCTCGAAAAGCGTTTTTAAAAAAATATTTAAGTTTATTTGATGATCCAAATCTAGTTGATTGCTCATTATTTATTCCTATACTTGAGAATAATTTATCTTTCTCACTTAACGATTTAATAAGTTTTCGAACCTTTTGTTCCATTTCTTTTGCTTCAAAATTTAGTGGATATGTATTGCAATTGTTTACTTTATCAGAATATTTGTTTTCTTTGATATTGTTATCTATAATATCTATATCTGGATTATATTCTTTAACTTTATCAACTGAGTCCAACCATTTTTTATATTTCCACAAGTCTTCTAAAGTGCATGATCTATAGCCATCAAAAGTTAACGGTTGTACATTTTTAGATGGTTTGACTTGTTTGCTCGTGTTTTTATAGAAAGATATTTTTTTTTTAGTTCTTTTATTTAGTCTGTTATCAAAAGTTGTTGAACTATTTTCATTAGTTTTCCCATCCATATTATTATTTATAGGTTTAGAAAATTCTTGAATATATGGATCGTTTTCGTACTTACTTATTAAAGAATCATCATTAATCTTAGCACATACTTTGTTTTGAAAATTGTATGAAATAACATTATCAATAGTGGCTTCTGGTACAAATCCAATTACATTTTTGTGATAACTATCGGCAAATAAGGACGATGGAGTTTGTAGTTCACTTATTGTATCAGACTGTAGTAAACTATTGTTTACTTTGACTTGTGTTTCGTTTACTTCCCAAAATTCAAAGCATAACTGCATAAGTTCTTTTTGATAATTTTCCCAACCATCTGTAGACAAGAGCTGTGAATTGTGTAATTTAACTTCATTATTAATGTCTGTACCAAGCGAAATGAAGTTACATGTTGGTGTGTTACCAGTTATAATATTATCTATTGTAGGGTTGTCATTGTGTGAAGTAATCATTCTTGTATGGCAGTTATCCATACTTAAATTTAATTAATTTTTAACGAGAAAATGGTCAAATAAATATTATTGAACAATGCCGGACCTCATATATATTAAAACATGTATCTATTTAGGCACTAATATATAATATATCATTACTGTATGATGATGGAATTTRGTTTTTAGTTACCTAAGTATCTACTTATTTTGTTCTGTTGTTAATGATTCCAGTGTATTTTTTTCCTACTTAATAATTTATTTTTTAATATTTGCCTTAGAATAATCCGTAAAGAATACCCAATCTTTGTCTATTTCCCAATTATTATAATCAGATTTACTGCATCTTTTTTTTTTCAATGATTTAGTGAACTCATTTGACGATTGCACATGTTCCTTAAAAGAATTTGTGTTCAATTTTAAGATTTTATTTTCTGATAGTAAAAATGATGTTTCAAATTGTTTGATTTTTTCATTTAAGTTATCTTTATTTTTATTATTATAATATAAGTTCTCGGAAATATCAAGTTCAAGTTTATTTGTTATTTGTATTCTCTTTGATACTATGTCTTTATTCAGATTATTAAATTTATTGACAATTTCAGTATTACTACGAGATTTGTTTACAATGTTTTTATGTGTTTTTTTTATTGGATTATCATTAAATGATTCAAATATTTTTATTTTTTCTAGAAAATTGTGTTTTATTATATTATTTGATGGTATATTATCTGTTACTAATATTGAAGATATGTCAATACTATTTATTTTATTTTCATAATTTATCGAACTTTTCAAAGAATTTTCTAAAATCAACCGTCTTCGAATTAATTGTTTGGTTAGTTGTGGGTCCATTTCCAACTATTGCAATCAATACAATGTTTATTGTGACAATGTACCTGTACCATTATCTGAAACAGAATTAATCATAGGTATTTAACTATTTTATTAATTACTAGGTGACCTAATTTCTAAATAGTATTTAAATATATTGACGTTCGTGTTATATGTATAATATAATWTGGTAAAGAAACATAAATAAAAAAACTAAACCAAGGATACACAAAGATGAAAATCCTATAAAAACTCCCTACCTCCCTACTAAATCGCATATCAACTACTTCAGCCATGCACATAATATATATATGCAATAATTAGACCCCTAGGTATTAACTTATGCATGCCCTACCTCCTACAGTATAGAAGTATGGACTGCCGCTTCGCCAACTAAACTTAAAAAAATTACTTATTCATTATGTATAGTTTATAAAAAAATTTTAAGAATTGACTCAATAAGCATCTTTATTAGTTTATACAAAACAAATATAACTTCATAACTACATGAGAGTTTTTATCCGTATTTTATTTTATAACAAACATATTATAATAATATAACACCCAAGTTATCATAATATTATAGAATATACATATAGATTAATAATGMCGCCACGCTATCTCACAATACTTTAGTTTTTAAATTTTTTGATTCATCACACTTATAACACTAAAATTATTAATCATAAATCTACGAAGGAGGGCCCAAAAAAAGGTTTTATGGGCCGCGCGTTTGACCACCCCGAATTAAATAACAATATTCGAATTAAGGCATGCTTAGATACTATCATATTGTGTAACATGTACAATGTATATGTATAGTATCTACCTATAGAATCTATCTGCTTTCAAAGTACATAACAATTGTGAAAATAAATTATTCAATTTATTTTATTTATGTAATATTAATATTATGTATAAGTTATCCCTTATTATTTAATTTCTGGCCCAATTGAAATATTTCGTTWTACAAAATTATCGACATTGTCTATCAATATTAGACATAGTGATAATTTCCTAGTCATAATAGTAAATAATGTRCTAACAAAATATTTGATTTTTACAACATCGTCTATATGTTGTCAGTTAATATTAAGGCATAGGCATTGACGATATCGTTTACTAATGATAGAACGTTATTAGAAGTTCATGATATTGGTTATAGGCATTTACGTTATAACCTAATTTATTTACATCATTAACGGTAACATATACATATCATAATATAAAGTTTAAACTTTCAAAGACGCCGAAGTAATAGGAAACACATGATAAAATACCTATACTAACGATCAATATTTACTACCCCCACTCACTTTACCACACTACTGATAAGTAATTTACTGTAATTTATACTATTTAATGAACTATTAAATTATTTTGACAACAGGATATATAGATAATATAGATAATATATAATATAGATTACCTACTTACTATGACAAGTCATAATAAAGCATGACGTGACATATAMCATACTGCTGTCATGTGTCGATTATGTGTCGTAAATGGTAAACTGATAGCCCATGTAACTATATAAGGTGTAGATAAAACAAATATCAAAGTTTATTAAGTTTAAAATATAGAAAAATACAAGTTCAGAAGCTGTTTATTAGTAGGTTTTTGATATAATTTATAAACATTTATTGGTTAAGGACTAGAAACTAGATAATATATAATACTACACTAATATATAGTATTGTCTATTACAATAGCAAATAATAGTGATTTGGCGTACCTACAGTATTTTATATTAGAAAATAATAATACATTTTATTCTAATTTTATTTTATTTTTTATTTTATATAGAATATTTTAAGTTCATAGGTATAGTAATGGCTAATGATCATTATGTGTATGTATTATATGTAGTATGTATTAGTATTATTATGTTATACTAATTGTATTAGAATATCGAATCAATATTGACTACAAACAGTACAAACCACATAATACACAAAAAAAATAAAATCATCATAGAAGGAAAAAATATTTCCAATAACATAATGTTTGTATAAATAATTAATCTGCAGACTGCAAGTCTGTAACCATTTAACCTATTAAGTATTAATATAGGCTGTACAGTTAGATTTTAGATTAGGTTCAATTTATAGGTTAGGTATTTAGTTATTATATAACTTTTATTTTTATAATAATAAGTTTAAAGTTATTGAATCAATCAAAGAAATCGTTATTATTAAAACTAGACATCTATATCTAATAGAAAATGTTACAATTTATAAGTTGATACTCACATTTTACTATTTTAGACCAATATTGTTTTGATAATTGAAGAAATTCTTTTTAAGTAATTGAAATGTTGAATAACTGCATTTGTTGTATTTCACTTGTAGTATGTAGGCACCTTTATTTTAGTAGAAAAAAACAACAGTACTTAATGTAGAAACATCGACAGAAAGTTTATTGCTATGTAATTTATATTTTATTGCTTTACTCACTTAAAAATTTAAAAATAAAAAACTATTTAAAACTCTGTGTTTGAGAAATTTAAATGCTTTAATGACTATTTACTAATACRATTAATTGTCAAAATATGTAGGTTTTAGTATCTATAGTTGTACCTGTAGTTTATAGGTAAATAATAAATTACAATTTATAAGTTATAGGTAACTATAGGTAAGCCACAATGTGTAAATGTGTAATGCTTGAATATAATTTATAACACGTTTATTTATGCCAATAATACTGTAATACCTATAGTGTACACGTAATGTTAAACTTAACATGTATACCTATAGTATATGTATTTACTATTTAGCTACCAACTACCAAGGTACGTGTATTGTTTATTTATCGATTCTATATATATCCCACAATAATTATTGTATAAACCATCTTAATTTATTTAATCATTGTTGTCTTTGTTATTATAGTTTGTGTTCTATGCTATTTAATCATAACACTAATATAAATATTAAATATTTTGCGATTAMAAATTAGTAATTACAATAGAATTTTCTAGTTTATATGATGTATATTTTATTTGTGTCACGTTGTTGCACCGTTGCCTATGTTTAATATGCTTTAAAACATAACGGCTGCTTTACCGTGTTTCATGGTTTCATTATTGTACAAAGTATTCGTATATATCTACGAGCTACGAATGATTTTTTTCATTTTACCCAACTACTAATTACCTACATTAAAGTTAATAAAACTTAAACTATTATCTATTATTTAAATCATAAGTTTCTTAAATTAACGCTATTCGACGTTTAACAACATATAATTATACATATAATAAATTGGGGAACGATAATAGATATAATATTATAGTTAAATTATTTATGTACAAACATATACTAAATAAATATTTTTTTTTAGCATTGATTAAAAAAATATACAATCTATAAACATAATTACAATAAACATCATATGAATGAAAAGATACATMGGCACTCGGCAGTGAATGCTTGAGTGGAGTAGTTACCAAGCAGTACCTAACACTGAACCATTGATTAAATGATTGAATTTATATTAAATAACTATCAATGACTGAACGAGATATTTGTCAGGCTATTTTATACATATAAAATACATACATTAATTTTTAATTTATTTTTTATCGAGTAACTAGGTTATCTAATAAAATCGTGACACCAGCGCGTTTTAAGTCTTTTTGGTGGATTACCAGGATTCGGGCGGTTTGTAAGGCGAGAGCGGAAACGCTTGGAAGAGGATGAGGACACATCCCACATCGCCACATCAGTAACATTCGGTAGTTCAAGATCAGAGTGTTTTGTAGGATTAGATTKTTTGTATCATAGAAGGGTGCGTTAGTAATATTAAAGAAATAATAATACAAATATACAATACAAAGCTTAAATGCAATTCTCTTTGGCTATATTCACAATAATGCACATTAATAATTTATACTTCATAATATTATAAATAAACGTTCATTTGCGATAAAATTAGACCGATTTTCCACTTACTAGTAAATGTAGGTGCTAGTGGGTAGAAAAGCACGAATCCTAGTAGATATTGATATTTTATAGGATTACCACGAAAGCTGARTTGTTGTTGACTATCCTAAAATGAAACTATGACTAAAAACATTGCGTTAGACAACTAATTGTTACGCTCATCTCATTTATTAATTATAATTTACATTGACCAGTAATTGTTTGTCGGATGGKCAATATTTAAACAGCATACTTACCCAACAAAATTCAGGATTCGGCTAGGTGAGAATAACCGGCAGCCGGCAGGTAATTAATAAAATTTATGTTACCTACTTATACTACTATATTATTATCTATAAACAACCATCTCCTTTCTTAAGTTTTAATAGTTATTGGTGGAAATATTGGAGGGGCTAAGTCCCCCAAACAGATAGATTTTTATTTGTGCGRGATCGAAGCCCTACGATTCACGTTGATGTTAAAAATTAGTTAGCCCACTGCCCACCTGAAATTTTAATCGATGTCTTCCTATATAGACAGCTGAAGTTATTCAACTATTTAAAAGTAATAGATATATTCTGAAAGAAGGGATTTTGTATTTGATATTCATGTGAAAAAAGTTTGCATCCGTGAAAATATTAAATGATATCTATTCTTCGAAYTTGGTTCTTAATATTTTATACTTAGGTCGTAACCTACCTAAACCTATATATAACACATCAATTTTTAAAACTCTATTTTCAAAAACTTATCTATAAATTAGTAGGAGCGAATTAATTTTAAAAATGAATAAAGATTTTTTTATACATTTAACGCTAGAATTAATATAAAGTAATCCATGTTTACTAAATTGGAGTGTTACAGATAGTACTTTGGAAAATAAATTTATAATTCTAGGGGGGTCATTCTACTCATTCTAGGCCCTGTTTTGCCCTCCTTAAACACGTCCATGAAGGGCACAATATAGCCTAGTTAGAGTAGGTACATAACAGTCGAGGAAAACCTGCATAGTGCATACATTGTACCTACATGATGTCAAATATCTCAAAACCTTGGAGGAGTAGAGTATAATATCTTACTCTATATATTTTACAGTGAAATTAAGTGTCTGGATTCTGAGGAATTTAACGCTAATAGTTGTTAAAATTAAATAATTTTGGACATGACCGATTCTAATTTCTAGGTGCTTGGTATTCGCGGGACACAGGCACACAGCAGCAATGCGATTTGAGTGGTACCAAAATTACATCGACTAACGAATGAAGCGGAGGTAATTCGGCTGTAGAGTGTAGACTATGGTCGACTTTAATACTAGAGAGTAGAGAGTTTGCTTCACACACACACACACACACACACACACCGGTTCGATGGAGCGTTTTTGGGAGAAGTGCAAGGCAAGGCAGAGGCGGTCACCCGACAGAGTGAGCTACGCTCTCAGCTCTCACCCCACTCGCCGCCCGAAATCCATACGTGAACATGGATAGTGGATTACGTATTTACGTCGCGTGTCTGGAGACAATATAAATAAGGCAACTAAAGTTAGCTATAATATAAAACCCTGAAATTTCCTATGACAGTACGTTGATAGTTTGATACCTAATTATAACAACTAGCAGGAGTCCAGAACAGCATTTAATATAGGTAGTAGGAATATTAATTACCATTAATTACAGTGTATTATTAAATATTAATGAATTTGTTAGGGAGGAGCAGCATATAGGTCTTTAATAAATTGTATTCATACATTGGCAGTAACGTGCGATTAAGTTATAATAAGAATATGAGAAATGTCGTTGTATAAGACAAGTAACGCGTAGTGACAATCATAATAAACAGAAAAGACAAATTGTATTAATCGTGTTTACGGTTTTTCATGAGCAATATCATTATGATATTTCCTGTTTTATGGACCAGAGTGGGGGAAAGAATCAGAAACGGAACGTTCTGGCGTTTGAACAAATATTGAGGACAGAAGAAAATAAAAAAAAATACGACGGCTGCTTAATACAGGCAACAACATGGGATGTCATAGCTCATAGCCGTGTGTACCGTCTGTACGTAAGTTAGCGTAGTACTACTACTGGCGGCGGCCGAACATTGTTTATAGTACATACGTCGTCGTTGTCCGTATCTATACGGCGGCAGTGCCGCCGGGGCTCGACAGCCGTAGCTCGGTGCGCGAGGCGCTTGCCGCTCAGCGCTCARGCGACATTCAGTCAGGGCAGTCAGGCTCAACACTCGGCAGTCGACAGTCAGCATTCGCTATCGAGTATCGGAACAGTGCCCGAAGCCYAAGCGGCCCCGCGCGTTTTAAAGTGGACCACGCCGACACTGGTCTGTTGTAGTCGTTACCAAAAGCGTGCGCGCGCACACTCTCTCACTAACAGTTCACACTGGCACAGTGTGCTATCACACCCAGCACACTCCCCCTCGGCACTCGCCCATACTTTATCTCTCACCGTAGGCTGGTCGCGGTGTATTTGTTTCTCTTTCTTTCGAAATTTCGTTTTTTTTTTTTTTATTAATGAGCGTAAAATTGCTTGTAAATTAACACTAATCATACTTTTTATATTTTTAATACTATCACATTAACATACACAACGCACAGTGCACACACGATAATATCCCACACGCGGTGTGGCCGATATCGGGCACCATCGTAATAATAATATAGCCTATAGGCACGCACAGAATTTTTTTGTGCGACGCCAAAAATCCTCTATCCTTGCGCCGCTCTCCCACTCGATAGTTCCGTCGCCGTCACTGGTCGTCCGTCGTCCGCCGAGGACCGAGGAGACGTTATAATATTATTATTTTTTATTATTATTATTATTTATTATTATTATTATTATTATTATTTTATTCATTATCGCACGCACTTACACACGCGCGTTAGAGTCCGGTGGGCGCGCGGCGTTATCGTGTTTCGAACTGACTACGAAAAAAAAACAAATACATAAATAAACGAAAAACGTYTCAGCGAACGTCACACCGTGTCTCGAAGCGAATTGCTGGTCGCTGCCATAGTGTCACAGAAGACGAAACAAAACAATAACCACCGTCGCCGAGTCTGCATCGACCGTTGGTGCATTGTTCGAGCGCGGTGACAACGATCAGCTCTCAAGACGTCCTTGGCTCGATCGTGTCACGCACACATACGGAACACTTCAGCTTAGKGCTTGACCGACCCRTTGTCATTACTTATCAGTCGTCATTACTCGTCGCTCGCCAGTCGCCACTGTCGTAGTGTCGATTGGACCATTCGCCGAGACGCATCGCGTGTGCGCGCGTCACCGAACCGAGCGACGAACACGTAGGTAGGTAGTGACTATCTACAATAACGTCATAGCAGACTACGCATAATCTCGTGGTCTGCAGGGACCACCGACCTCCCACGCCGGAACATGGGTCTGGCCACCGAAATTCTGGTCCATGTGCGCGTCGACGATACGTGAGCGGCAGCAACAGCAAAACGGGTGGTGTACTATCAAGAACACTGTACAGGATTTGGTGATATTATTATGGTGGTGGTGGTGGTGGTGTTGCGGTATATTGTTGTTTGATGATAGCCGTATTACCGTGGAACCATGGCAGCCCAGCAGCAGCAGCCACAGCAGCTGAAGTTGTTCACATATTCGGTGATCGAACGCAAGGACGAGATCGAAGAGGTAAGCGCAGTCGTCGACGATCAACCGCTCTGTCGCGCCGTACCTTGCTCGCACTCTTGTACGCAATGATACTATAACAATGCCGTGCCGTGTGTGTGTGCACGACCCGCACGTCGTCGTCGTATAATATCGTACGTTGTGTGCGCGAGCCGTGTGCGTTGACCGTCGTCGTAGTATCCATCGATATCGGGTCTTTATTTTGTTTTATCCCTTAGAAATATGAACGATGTTATCAAACCCTCCAGAGCCTAACGACTGGCCTCAACGATCGCGAGTACCATGACGCGCTCACCAGCCACATCAGCAAGGACAAGAGCCAAGAGGAAGTCATCAGTTTGGGGCTGCTGACTGCTGTGCTCCTAGACACAAAAAATGCTGAAAAAGTATGTATGCGTGAGCTGATGCCTTATATTGTTGAAAATGTTTTTAAAGTATGTACCTACTTTGGTACTATGAAGTTTTCAATTTCATTTTTGTTTTGTGGCGTGTTGTATAAATATTATTTGTCATGGTATATGCGCCGTATTCATTTAATATAATTTATACTTATCACACAGTAATTCAAAACTGTTATTGTTGTTGTTTAAAACTTTGATATGTACAAGAAAATCAGTAAACATTAATTCTCAATTCTCATTTATTCATTACTTTTTTTTTCCTAAAAGACAAATATTTTTTTAATTTGTATTCATTTTGTTTGTTTTCTAGAATTAAAGTAGGTACTAAACAACAACAGGTTCTTGATTTTGGTGGGGTTAASTAAAAAGAACCATAATATGGTCTCTTTAATATTTATAATACACAGGTCATAGCTCTTGAGAATGACATAACTGCTTTTGATTAAAGGTTAGGTACTGTATTTAATATAACTCCAATTAGATTAGTATATTCCTTGGTAGTCTGTTCAGTACTGTATAAAAATATATACCTACATTTTTATACATTTAACTATTTGTTGACAACTTTCTTGACTGTACAATTTACCAATTTATTTGCAATTTTTAACATAAAATAATATTAATTCTACATTAATTCTTTTTACAGATATACAGAGATTTAACTTTGTTATCACGTGATGGTCTGCAAAGTGTTATATCTCATTTACAACAATTTACATTAGAAAAATGGAGTCGACTTCTAGATCCTCCTCGCAAACAACTGTTGTGGCTAGTCCGCGAAATGGTGCGCAACAACATTGCTGGTGTAGATAACTTATGTTGGAACCTGATGAGAAACGCAGCAGGTGGTGACATTTCCTCAACCAATATTGCACTCATTGAATATCTTCTTGATCTTTATCAAGATCATAGGTATGATTTATATTGTAATATTTATTTTAATTACATTTTGTTTGAGGTTTTTTTTTTTTTTAGAAAATGGTTAGAAAGATTTCCTTGGTTGATAGCATCTGTTGTGTATTCTTTTTTACGTTTTATTGAAGATCACTCTAGTTTAATTCCTCTACGCAATCGAGAAGTGGTGTTCACTATATCTTTACTACGTGATCGATTCACAGATTGTTTAGTTATTGGGCGAGATCTAATCAGATTATTACAAAATGTTTCACGTATACAAGAATTTGAAACATTGTGGAAAGATTTACTACATAATCCTCAATCATTAAGTCCAAGCTTAACAAATGGTAGTTATAGTTAGAGCAAAAAGTTATGTTTTGTTAAAATATTTTATTTTTTATTTTTTATTTTTTTTTTGTTTATAGGTATTATACAAATATTAGAAACCCGAACATCTAGAAGGTTTTTACAATCACGATTAACACCTGATATGGAACGTAAATTAGTGTTCTTCACTTCTTCAGTTCGATTCGGTCATCACAAAAGATACCAGGAATGGTTCCAAAATAAAGTAAAATTAAAAATTAGTTTTATTTTCTCAAATAATATTGTTTTTATCTTGCAGTATTTAAATACACCTGAAGCACAATCTCTAAGAAGTGATTTAATTCGATTTATTGTTGGACTAATACATCCTACAAATGAGTTGTTGTGTTCCGACATTATACCTCGTTGGGCTGTGATTGGTTGGCTTATTACTACGTGTACGTCAAATATAGCTTTAGCAAATGCCAAAATGGCTCTATTTTATGATTGGGTTTGTTATGATCCAAAACATGATAATATTATGAATATTGGTAAGTCATTAGTAGCTGTTTAAAATCTTAAGACAACATTACACCTAAATATATTGTCTATTTAAAATACACAAAATAGCAAATTTATTTACTGGATTTTTAATTACATTTTTGATAGTTAATTTTAAAACAAATTTATATAATTTTTATTGGATTTTTAAATATTTTTAAACTGGACCTAAGCACTAAGTTTTTTGTCATATTCATATAATGAGTTAGAATAATTGGATGAAGAAAAACTATGCTTGAGCCCATTTCATATTATCCTCTACAAATTTGTTAGTTGGTAAATTTTCTTTAGTATTACTTAACTACATAATATAGAATTTGGTGCATAAACAAAACATATATATTATGCTTCATCCTTTTAACTTGTATTTTAATTTATCATATTACATTAAAATGTATTTTAACTAATCAAAGTACTGGATTATATAGTTTATATTAAATTACTTACATCAAAGTACTGGATTATATAGTTTATATTAAATTACTTACATCATTATAATAGATATTTTTTTTTTTTTACAGAACCAGCAATTTTAGTTATGCTTAACTCATTACGTATTCATCCAACAGTAACTGCCAGTTTGCTGGACTTTTTATGCCGAGTAATTATATATTTTAKAACTTAATTTTTTAATAGATTCTGATATTACTATTTACTAATATTAGATGATAACAATGACTGATATAAATTTATTTTATCAATTCATAGACATGTGCAGGGGGTTATTTGGTAGGTTAGATTATGATAGTACAAAGTATTGCATTGATATATTCAAAATATAACTTTTCATCATTATCAAGCATACAAAAGAAGAATAAATGTATATGATAGAGATAGTCTGGTAGACAGTGTGGTTTTATGGTCTTATGGAAGAGTCTGTACTGTTTTAACATCTATATAGATATGARAGTATAAACAAGACAAAGAAATAACTGTTAAAACRATTGTTCTTACATTAGCCCCTTATTATGTTTTTAAAGTAACTATTAAATTTTCTGGTAGTACTCTAAAAAAATATATCTTAATTTTGTGTCATAGTTTAAAAGTAYCCTGGATACTTAGGTATAGGTCATACTTCTAATTTATTAGTTTAATAGAAATATTCAAATTGTTTCTTATAGTGGGCAATTGTAAATTTATTTTCATAAAATGAATAACATTGTTCATAATTTATTATTAAATATTTTTTTATTTCAGATTATTCCTAATTTTTATCCAGCTCAATCTGAGAGAATACGCAATGGTATTTTTGTTTCATTACGGCAAATTCTTGATAAAAGAGTGTTGGCTTCATTAGTTCCTTTGTTTACAAATCCTCGAATAGATGGTGAACTTAGAGCCATGATACAAAGTACTTTCCGAGAATTTTGTGATCCACCTGCCGTTCAAGGTAATATATATTTTTATTTATGATAATTAAATTAGAAATTCCTATAATAGTGAATCTTTTAACAAAGGAAATTTATTATTTCTAAAAGTAATGATGTTTTTTGGAAATTATTATACATGAAATTCTAACATTTTATATTTTCTTTTTTTCTACTCTATAATAATTATAGGTGAATCCACTTTTTTTATTTTACTTAATCCGAAATATTTTTTGTTTAAAAAAAAAATGTTGGGTACAAATTGAACATTTATCTATTTTACTAACAAGCAATGTTAAATATGGGTGGTTCTTTGTCACCGAACACTCATTATTTCAAAAAGTATAAATGTTTGAAAAAAAAATCTGATATGGTTCTAGTCATTTAAAGTGTATGTGAGCGAAGTAGAGTGTTCATATAAAATTAAAATACTTATATCTCATACTACTAATTCTAAATTCAACTTTTATGTATTAAAATACTGAGGAAAAAATTCTGCTTTAAATATTAAATTTACACTGTTGTTGTAATTGTAATTTAAAAAATAAAAAATATACAAATATTTAAAATATAATTTTTTAACAAAAACATTGTTTGTAATGACTTGAAACCATGTAAAAAAAATATTTTTGAATAATGAATGTCTAGCCTTAAATAAATTACTCGATATGTTAAAACCATATAAAATAAACTGCTTGATTCCAAATGAATTTTAAATTTCATAACTTCATGTATTTAAAGTTTTATAAAAATTAACTGTTTTTCAATATAATGATTTCACAGTTAAAAATAAAAAATAAATTGTATACTTAATATTAAACAATATAAATTAATCTATCCAATTTTTATTTCAGGTGATCCTATCAAAAACGATGACATAATGGATAATTTACTTATAWCACTTAAAGATGAGTTAATTTCAGAAAATGATGATATCTCATTTAGTGACGAAGAATCTGAAACAAGCCCCAAGAAAAACATTATTCTTGAAAATAACAGTGTACCTGCTATTAAAACAACCCCATGTATGCTAATCAATTAAAATATACAAGGTTATCCAAATCATTAAAATACAATTTGGATAACTTTATGTAGTATGTAAATATACACTGTTCAGTGTGAAATGGGTCCCTGGTGTCAATCAGCTTAGTYGGAGATTAAAACCCAACCCTACGCCAAGATCCTTTCTCACTTTACTCAAAAAATGTATTCATATTAATACTCAAATTAATTTGATTTCAGTGAAAGTTAAACTAAAAGAAAAAAGTGTACTTCCTCTTGATTTGGATAAAGAAGCTTTGCAAACTCTAACCAAAGAATTGAGACTAGAGACTGAAAGTTTATATTTTGAAAAGGATAACGAAAGAAAATGTGAAGCTATGGAGAAAATAGTTCAGTTAATTGTACAAGATGATGATATATATCCAGAAATGATTGCAGCATTAGGCTCTTGTATTTCTTGTCTATTGAAAAATCAAATTGAAGAAAAGATCTTTCCATCTGTCCTTAATGATGAGTAAGTTATTATTTTTTATTAATTTCATTTAATACTACAATATGTRTAGAATACATTTGATGAGTGCTTAGGATTACTCAACTGAGTAAGGTTATAMTAATAGGTGAAAAACTTTTGAACCAAAATCATACCCTTCTAATTTTTGGCCAAACCAAAAAATTTAATATTATCTTTATTTTATCCATTTAGAAATTTATTAAAACCTGTATAATTGTTGTCATTAATTAATAATAATTAGRTACTTAAAAATAAATATCTAATATATAATGTATATTTTAGCCAATTACCACTCACTCATTTATAACTACATTTCAAAAATTACATAATTTATTAGAATATTCTTGACATTTGGAATAGTGATTTCTCTAATGTTGTTGTAGATGTGGGATAAGAAAAGATTTTCTACTTGCATTTTAAAAAGGTAGCTCAAATCTTAAGATTCACGGTTRAAACTTTTTTTTTATAAATGTTAGCCATTAGTTACTCAGGCAGATCAAGTACAAGCATGCATCTAATTCTTTTCTCTATGGTCTCAAATAAAAAAAGCGGGTAAGTGGATGTCGCTCTGCTGTACATTAGGTGGTGGGGTGGACCTCTGACTAGGGTAGGTTAGATTTGAATGCAATGATAGGTATCATTGTATACGAAAAACGATTCTGAACAGAGATGATTTGTCTGTCTAAGATATATTATATTTAAATATTGTCATATATTCTATTTTGAAACAAATATTTTATTTTTCAATTAGGACGCATAAGGCATGGTTAATCAATTTTTCCAAAAACATTGCATGTAGTTATCATAATTCATAATACCTTATATTATTATAGATATACATATACCTGGTTTCATAAAAACTTAAAACTCAAACACTCAAAACATTTTTCCTATAATGACGCTTCGAGTTTTCTCTATAGCTGCTTGAAGAAAAACTTATGGAAAACATAATGTTGTATTTTTATTCCTTAGTTATGAACACAAACATTTTTATGATTTTTCAACTTTAAAATAATTTGCAAATATTCACGGTTTTGACGAATTTTTGTCAATATTTGAACTTCAAGTGCTAATAAAAAAAAAATTGTAYCTATGTATTCTTATCATTTTTTTAATAACTTATGAAAAACATTGTATTAAATTTTCAAGTATTTTGATTGGGCCAAACAAATTTTATCGACACTTCAAAAAATTGCTTTAGAGATGTAAGAAAAGTTTAGAGAGTAATTAGTTTAAACCACATTAAATAATATAAYGTGGTTTTTAGTTGCCAGTTTAGTTTGAATTATTTCACATAGCTAAATAGCTTGACGCCAATTTGTCTGTCAACTAAGGTACTACACTAAAACTGATTTTACTCAAACTGAGATACACCTATATAGTGTTTGTACTATATAAGATTTTTTACATAAAAAAAAAAACTGCACACGGGTGAAGCTGGAATATTCAGCTTTTAACTTATATTAATACAATTTTTTTTATTAAGTATAAAATAAAATACTTATAAATGTGGAAAAAACATGAGCATACTTGTAATAACTTTAGAAGATATTGAAAAAATTATTATTGACTAAAATTATGTATTATTATTAATTTATATATTACTGATGTTCTATATGCATTTATATATCAAATCTAGGAATACAAAATATGAATTATTTATCATTGATTACCTTCATACTTTAACACAAACTAATTATTTTTGATTTTATGTTAAATTTTATAGTGCATTGGAAGACAGTATTGGTAAACCAATATTTGTTATGTTCCGTAGTCTAACCCAATTTGCTGAAGAAGATTCACGTAGGTTACAACTTTTTTCATTGCTAGCTGAAATGAGAACACACCAAACCAGAATTGGATATTTATTACTTTATTATTTGCAAGTGAGCAGCTTAATAAACAACAACTCTGATAGGAAAATTAAGTAAGTTTAAAATTAAAAAATAAATTAATGTAACAATAATTAATCTTAATTTTAATTTTTTATTTTAAGTGGTATCAAGTCTCATGTATATAAAGAATTTTGTGAAACTCAAGAAGTTGAATTAAATGAATGTTTATTGAGTGATCTTCAGTTGTGCCAAGAAGATGATACATCAATGTTTTGTTGGCTGATTCCGGCTGTCTATGATCAGTTTTCAAAGATTGTTGTTGGAAATGAAGATTTCTTACATTTAGTTGTATCTACTATTGATGGCTCACAAATACAAGAAATAATTTGTCTGATTTTACAAGGTATTTTTTTTTTAACACTTAAAAATATATTTTTATTAATTAATAACATAATTATTTATTAGGTAAATTAAGCATGTTTCGATCTGACGCAGTACCATYATTAGCAACTAGTTCATTGGATTGGGAAACAATGGAACAATACTTTTTTTGGCAACTGGTGTCTGCACATGACATTGATATTAAAGTAATATTATCAAATATCACAAAATTAGACTATAATAACCACCCTGAGACCTTGACTAGTATTTTGCTCACACTAAAAAAAGAAAAGTAAGTTTATTTTGTTTTAATTTAAATGCACTACATTAAAAATTAATTATTAATAAATTTTAAATCGTTTTTTTAGGCCCACTTTAGAATTATTGAAACCTATACTATGTAGAGAAATTAAACCTTTAAATGACCAATTTGTTATATCTGTGATATCTAGTTGGTATTTGGAACATGGAGATAATGTAGCTAATCTTGTTTCTCAACTATTAATTAGTAGATGCCCAGTTGTGTCTCCAACCAAACGAAAACGCGGACAAGGTAATTTATTTTGTTTATATATAGCTGGTTGTTCTAACAAAAAGTTGTATTATATAATATATTCTATTTCAGGACAGGGTTTAGGTTCTAGAGGAGGTGTAGCGCCACCTAGTGCTGAGCGAATACTTGGTCACATGGAACGCATTCGCAGTCGGGGTACTTGTCCTGTACTGTTTCGCGCTGAAGGCATGCAAAAAGCTTTACAAATTGCACAAGCTGCATGTACAGATACCCAGCGCATGTTGTTTAGCAACCTTTTTCAGTTGCTTGAAGAAGATGAAACACATACACCAACTACCAATAGAAATTCAACAAGTGGTAAACGTGGTCGTAAAGCAGCTCCTACGTTTGGTAATAGTAATAAAAAAAATGCCAAGTCTGTGATAAAAGACCTGTCAGAGAGCTCTGAAGATTCTAGTGAAGTAAGTAAAAAAATTTTGTTGAATGAATTTTTTAATTTAAGTATTTATGTGATTTTTCTATTCATATAGGAGGAAGAAGTTATAAAACCAAGACAAACAAAAAAACGGAGAAAAATTAATGCAGTTGCGTCTGAAAGCGATTGATATAAGGTATCTTTACTCCATGGTAGAATCATTTATACTCTACCATAAATTATTAAGCAGTGTTAAACAGACACAAATGTTTTCTACATTTTAATTCCTCCACCCCGATTTTAATTTAATTGTAATTATGTTAAAAACAAATATATATATATATGTATATATACACAAAAAAATCGGTGAAAATTATTTTCTTAAATTGTTAATCGATTAACATGTTAATACAGTGTAGTACATTATTTTTATTGTTTGTAATGTGACTGTTTTTGTAAATACTAATATTTTTAACTGAATATATTTAAATGAATTAAAAAATTGTATCATTCATAACCATACATTTTTGTATATCCTAAACAGACGACATATCACTGATATATTGAACTAATGGTTGTAAATTGTAATTGGGTGAAAGTACCTTTTGTTGCTAAATAAGAGTTTACTTTCTCTGCTAAACAAATTTAATTGGTTTTATAAATCGTGAAAAATTTTGTTATTGAATATGTTCTTATCAATTAAATATTTAAGTACTTTCTCTGGGTAACTSTAGTTAGTATTTAATTCTTCTTATCTAATATTAATAAAAAGTAACAAAAAACTTATAACAATATATCTTAGTTGAAATTTAACTATACTTTTTTTCATAATTTACGTTWTATTTAATTTATATTAACTAGTATAGTAGTATAATTTTGAACAATAAATAAATATAAAAGTGAAATTCAGGTATTGCCTGGTGTTTTTAAGCGTGTAATCTATATAAAAATCTATTATAATCTGTGGTTAGTTCCACCTAAGTATTCCAGAATTTGTTTTAACACGGTTTTTTTGTTCACCGGTTTTTTTATTATATGTATTTTTGCAATTTTTCTCAACAAATCATACTWAAAACAAAATTACATGATTTTAGAACATACTTATATGTATGATGGTACAACATAAAATAACTTTTTACTGACATAATAAGTATTTAGCCTTAATACAAGTACACAACATTTTAAACTCTTAAGGATTCATTGTACAACTACATTTTGAAAATAAATATAATAATATTATAAAACTCGCAGAATATGTTACTACATTCTACCATCATGTAGTTGGATTATAGCGATATTTTTTATAATAAGTTAAATAAGATATGTGATGGTTTGTCATCTGGGTTTTAACCAATTATCTTTCAATTTAGCTCTACCGAATTTCGATTAGGAAATATGAAAAAACTAAAATCATTATTATATCAAAACATTGTGATACAAACAAGTGTTTTATATCTTTTAGACTGGTTTTTAGAAACAAAAGTGAAAAAAAATTGATTGCACAACTAATGAAACTGGAGAAAATTGAAAAATATGCGTGGGATAAAAAAAAACTGGTAAGTTTAAGATATCACTAGGGGTAGACACAGTTTAAACCAGGTTAACCGTCTATGCATTGCACTGGGATTCAGTATTGTATACAGCATAAACATAATGGCACAAGTGATTTACCAGAATTTTTTTAGGGATTTTATATTTAAATATAACATCTGGGGAGGGGGCTTTATACACTCCCATGGTAGTCATCAATTGTCTTTGTCCTTTTCATTCCTCCTTCCAGATTTCTAGATCCCACATTGGATAGACACCAAATATTGTAGTTTTTGATAATAACTAATAAGTCACAAATAAACCAGGAACCATCTTTTTAGTAATACAGTAAGCATTCGAAAATTAAAAAAAGTTTTATGGCCATACCTGATAGCCAAATCTTTAAGTCTTATCTTAAAAAATATTGGTCGTATAAAATAGTCACGCCTCACGCAGGCCTGTTTTCGACCACTGAACTAGTACCATTTATTTTATATTGTAATCTAAATCAACTCCATAATGAAATGGTTATTTATCCTAATTGCCTGTTCCCATATTATATTATTTTATTACGTTGACAAATATGAATATCTACAATATTTCATTGAATTTTGACAGTTTTTATATTAATTATAATTAGAGCACTGGTTTTTTTCACTAAAAAGTATTRAAATATGRTGTATAAAATGCAGTTAAAATAATAAAAATATGCAAAAAAATTGTATTTTAGGTTCTGAGCGGAGCGAGGAATGTATTGATATTACAATGATGTGTGTTTTTTTTTGTGTGTCATCACGTTTTGGGGCAGTAAAAGTGCT